GATTTATATTCTCTTGTTTTTCAAACCATATGTTTTCATTGCTCTTGATTTAAAATAACTTTTTTCCCCCCCCAGACGTGCTACTTATCCTTAGCAAAAGACGATGCTGTCACGAAGCTTTTGTGGGGAGTAACTCATAAATTGAACTGGGTTCTGTGGGAGCAGCAGTTAAGCATTTATCACATATAATTTGAATAATAAATGTAAAATATGAAAATACGTACTTGTGGCTGCTTGAAAGATATTCTGGATTTTTTTTCATTCTGAAATGAGATTCAGAGAAGAGTAAAACCTTGAGAAATAAACTCTGCTTTTGCAGATCCTTGATGATTTTCAGAAAGCACGGCCGGAGGGATGACCACATTTTCAATAGTGTGAGTCCTGGAAGTATAATTAGCAAATAGTTATTTGCCTGTAACTCTCTTTGCCTCTGGGCTTCTGAAAGCTCAGATGTTTCTTGGGTACCAGTTCTAAAGGAGCGGAATTGTGGAATGTTTTGCCGTTCTTTAACGCTTGCGTACATTTGGCAGCTCTGCACGAAACTGCTGGAGAGTGAAGGGGGGGAAAAAAAAGGAAAATTAAACCTTTTTAACTGATCAGACTTCTTCCACCTAGCTTGCAGGATTATATATATAAATACAGGCTTTGATTTGAAGAGCAGAGGCAGAGCTAGAGCATGTGTTTCTGTAGCTTGTATTCAGATAGCAGCGTCTCCCAGCAGTTTTGAATTGACTGTCGTGAGGGTTTGGGTTCGCTTATGTTTTACTCGGGAATCCTCCATGCATCTCAGATCAGACACGACAGTCATGTGGCTGATGAGCAACCTACGCCATAAAAGATGATGTGAAAATAAAGTCAGATTGAGATCTTGAGCTGGGGGTAATCTACAGACTAGAAGTGGTACCAGATTTGCATTTCAGAGTCTGCTGCATGTAGTCTGTCTGTCTGTGAAGGTCTCCACCGAAGTCTTCTGCGTCTGAGGACATCAGGTGGCCATTGTGTTGGTTCCAGCTCACTGAGCCAGCCATGGATGAAGACCTGAGATGCTGTGCAAACGCAGCAGGAAGTAAAATAGACCTCCCCTCAGTTTTACTGCAATTTCTTGTCAGCGTAACTGTCCTGGGGAGGGGTGGCACAGATGTCGAATGTGTTAGTCCTAGCATGCTTTCTACTTCATCAGGTACCAAGGTGGGCGGCTTCTTGGGGAAGGGGTTTGGATTGTTTCTTAGCTTTTCAGTGGTGGTTGTAAATAGATTTTAAAGCTTTAGGATGCTCAAGTGACAAGAGAGTTTAGCTTGTTTCTTATTTATAGAGTTCCATATGTGTGAATGTAGCACTTCCTGACGCATATGAAAAGAGGCTTCCTGCCCAGGAGGGACTGTCACCTTTCTTGACCTCTTCTTTTTAATATGAGCTCATCTCCTCTTGTGCCCTGGATTTTAACTCAAATCAGCATACTTCGTTGGGCAGTGCCTGGCTGATGAGCCTTCCTGCAAAGACTTCAGCAAAATGTCTGGAGTAAATCTACCTGAGTCATAGCTCACAATTAAAATCATATAGCACAGTACATGCAAATGAGCTTCATCTCTGCTGCCGCTTTGGCTGTGGGCTGTGCGGGAGTATGAGCCTGGTTTTCCATGAAGAAGTGTTTACCTGCTTCCATAGGATTCTCTTTTCCTGTCCTCCTAATTTCGTGCTGTTGCTAGAAGTAGGGGCTGTAGCTGCTAGTGCGGTCATCACGGCGTTGGCTCTGGAGCAGGGCAAAGCGGCTGTGGCTGAGACTGGCTGCGGGTGAAGAGGGCTGCTCGGCATCGCTTGCCTTCGCTGGAGCTGGTAGCAAAAGAGGGGGTTTAACGACAAACTGGCCTTTCATTTATTCCTGGGT